ATTCAGAAGGATAATAGTTATCTCAAGTGTTTTCATGTACTTTTTTTGTTTTCTTCCTTTTTGATGTCTATACAAAGGCTATCTTTACATGTCTTATGGCAATTGTAATCCAGTTGTCATTCTAGTGGAAAATGCGTCCAACACCCTTTCTTAGAATCCTTAAACCAGGTTTCTCCAGCCATTGTATGTCAATTCTTTGGCACAACCAGATGTGGATTACACTTGATAGGTGCCTTTTATATTCTTATTATTAAGAAGCAATTCATTTAATTGAAATCGCTCTCATTTTGATTTGAAGCATATTATATGGCAGGACGTTCTTTTAATATCGGATTCTTTTTTGGATGTCATAATTTGAACAGCACACACCAAATTTCCAAATTTTGATCAGATGGTGCTGGATATGGGGCATGATGGGTGAGTGGGTGCTTTGCAACCAAATCATCCGGTGGTGAACAAGACTGCGACTCTGGTTCCTTTTGTTGAGGTGGAAAAGATTTCAACTTTGTAAGGCAATCAAGAATGCAAAACCAATATTTGCAATGAATATGTTAAAATGAGAAACTAATACTTCTTTTTACCTCCACTTTCCATAATATACTCCATTCTACAACATTATTTTATTTGCTCTGCTTTTTGCTCCCAAAACAGGGACATACGGAGTTGTACATAGTTGGACATTATGAGATTTATTAGTCTACAGAGAGAATCGTACCTCGATTGATTTTGGGTGATTTTTATTGTTAGAAATATTATTCTTCCGTGGTTCACAATATGCATTACTACTCTTATAGCTGATGCCGTTGTGTGTGAAACTGTAAACTTGCACTTTGCAGGGTAAGTTTTTGGATGAGTTTAAATATTGAGTGGGATAATATATACATGGCAAGCAAGAGTGACCAGATTTGTGTTTATAATGTGGGACATTCAACTTCTTTGAACTTTTAGATTTCAAAATCATCAAGCAATATATGAAAAGCCTTCTGAGTTACTGAACCTTTCTTCTTTCATCTATCATTGTTCATCTGTTTCAATGTCATCTTATCTATGAATTTGTTACTCCAGTCAAAAAGTCTGCCTTGTCCAGTTGCCACTTTGGATGCATTTGGGGGAACAAATAATTTTAATATAAGAGCTATATTAAATTTAATATAAGAACAAATAAATTTAAATAAAATTTCCCCAAGCCTTTTGGTTATGATTCTCACGACAGACATAGGATTATATTTTCTGGTTTTATAGTTAGAACTATAATGATTGTAATAAGATACTTAATATAAGAGTTACTTGACTCATTTGGGTAAATTAATAAAATTAATTAAGTTAGCTATTTGTGATAAATAGATATTGTCTTCCTTAAAATGCCCTTACTAATTATGTGTATTAGCTAAAAAATTTTAACATATACAACTACTATAAAAACTATTTTTAAAAAAAAAATAACTATGAGAAATAAAGTAGATTTGGGTCATATATCTAAGACTAAATTAAAAGTCAAACTTCTTATATTTAAGATTAAACTAAAAATTAAAATAATTTTTATAAGAGAAGATCTCATACAATGGTCTGTTATGCAGTTTATCTCTTTTTGTTATGAAATTAACCAACAATGAAAGTAGATTGGAGAAGAGAAGTAGACAAGAAAATGAGAGAATGATATTGTATTCTTTCACTTGCTTCACTTTCATTACAATACGATAGCATACCTTATTTATATGTATAGTCTTACACATAAGTTACATTTGTACTTAAATGATAGATAGTGGACAATAAACCATATGAATATGAGTGGGGAGGAGTTACAAGATTAAAGGCATAGTGGAAAGGTAATGGAGTAGTGGAAGATTAATGCCTAGTAGAAGTAGTGGGAGTTGATGATGAAGTTGAGAGGAAGAGGAAGAGAAGAAGAGGAGATGGACATTCATATGTTATAATATTCATAACACTCCCCCTTGGATGTCCATTATAAGATATGTGCCTCATTAAAAAACTTCAACTAGGAAAAACCCTGCGGGATAAAAACCTAGTAGAAGAAAAAGAGTATACATTCACTTATTCGATGCTGCCTCATTAAAAACCTTGCTAGAAAAACCCAGTAGGGAAAAAAACCATAGACAAGGAAAAAGAGTATAGTGTGTATTAACTCCTCCTTTGATAACATCAATTGATATCCCTGAGTCTATGACATCTGATATCATGAACAAACTTTTCAAATATTGTAATAGGAAGTGACTTGGTGAACAAATCTGCTAGATTTTTATTTGAATGAATTTACTAGATATATATTTTACCATCTTTTGGATATTATGAGATGAATACTGCATTTGGAATTACCAGCATGTGAATCAGAAAAGAATCTAGAATTCTATTCCAATGTCTTTGGTGAAGAACTATATCTTACCAGTAAGTTAACAACAAATGATATGTGGCGTCATGCATGACTGATAAGATATGATATGGTACTTCTGAACCTATGATTTGGTACTTCTGGACCAAGTAGTTTTTCATCACCTTCTCAAAATATATAAGGTTTTTTATTCACCTCCACAAATCTCACAACCATTAAAGTATATAATGGATGTGATTTAGTGCCCGTTTGGATGAGCGATTGGAAAAGCTGCTTATTGAAAAAACAGCTTATGGATAAGTGAAGTGGGGTAAAAGCTAAATTGGATAAGCTGAATTGTGTTTGGATTGGAGTTCAGAAAAGCCCGTTTGCAAAAGTGATATTGGTGAAAAATTGTTTGGATTATGGTTGAGTAAAACTAAGTTTGGTTGTAAAATGACCAAAATGGATATGAGTTTTAATAAATAATAAAAAATAGGGAAAAAATAATTTAACATAATACAATGGAATTAAAGTAATTTAATACGAATAAGTGAATTAAATTTTAAAAATTTAGAGAAATCAAAAAAATTATTTTAAATATAAAGTGAAAGAAGAAAAAAATTGAATAGAGATAATATAATAATGAAGTAAAATTTAATGAGTGAATTAGAATTAAAAACTGTAGAGAAATCATAAAAAATATTTAAGAAACGAAGTGCAACATGATAAAAAAAATTAACATAATTCAATAAATTTAAATTAATTTAATACGAAGAAGTCAACTAAACATAATTTAAATGGATAACAAAGTTTTGAACTCCAATTGAAGTAAAATAAAATAATATTACATAATTAATTATTTGATAAACTATGAATAATTTCGTCTCTGATTGCATCATGAACACGATTCATATGCGATGAAGACTGTGATGTAACATTTGAAGGCGATGGTTGACTAGCTTCAGCCTGATCATGTTCGGCCACTATATTATCATTTTCAGCTTGTTAAAAAAGAAAGTCGGAGCTTGAATGTCTCCTTATAAGGTTATGAATGGCCATTGTCGCACAAACTATGTATACTTGTGTTTGGAAGTCGAACTACGCATGTTTCGTAAGATGTGAAATCTATTCTTCCAAACACCGAAAGTTCTTTCTATTGTGCACCTTAAACTGGAATGATAGTAATTGAAGGCTTCGTTGCTATTTCGGAATCCTACTTGTCGTCGGAAGTCCGGAAGGTGGTAGCGCTCAGATCTATATAGACCTAGATATCCATTTGGTGTTGGATATCCCGCATCAACCAAGTAATATTTCCCTAATGATTCATGAAACAATTAGAGAGATTGTGAAAAGAAAAAAAATACGAAATAATTAAAAAAACATGCGTGATTGAAACTTATAAACATATACCTGGAGGTGGATGAGGAAAATTAAGAGATGAATTTGTAATAGCACTGTCAAATATACGAGCATCATATGCAGATCCCTCCCATCCCACCAAGACAAAAGTGAAACACATATCCCAATCACATACAGCCATGACATTTTGTGATAGATTTCCCTTTCTGCCAATAAATTTGTCTCGTTTTGCAGCAGGAACAACACACGGTATATGAGTGCCATCAATTGCTCCCATTGCGTCCTTGAAAAATGGATAATAACGTGGATCGGTCTCAATTTTTCTATGAGTTCCACGAAATGTAGGATCTATAGGTCGAATAAGTTCACTTGATAGGCTAAGGCAAGCTTGCAGTACATTATGAAAGTACCTACTTACAGTTTCCCCTGAACGTTGAAACCGTTCCTGGATCATCCTATTGCATTGTCCATGTGCAACCGTGTTTAAAAACATCGCAGCCATTTCTTCAATTCCTACATATTTAGACTTGTGTAAACCGTGTTCCTCCAATTTGGTACATAAGAGATGGAAAACATGTTTATCCACTCTAAACATTTCAGGACATCGATCATCATGGCCATTCATAATGCCTTGCACCCATAAATTTCCTGTCAGCTCACTAGTTCTGCAGGGTTGTTTAAACATATACATTTCACAGTAATGACCAACCAATGCACCTCCTACTTCATATTGTGTTAATTCCTCATTAATTTGTCTTGAACAGTCATCTTCATTGCACTGTGAATCATCATTCCAATCCTTCAAAGTATCTTAATTCAATGGTGAATCATCATTCCAAGAAGCCATTTCTGGAGTTAACCCTGTAACTATGATGACAACAAAGTGTAAGCATTATAAGGATTACCCTAAACAAGGTGTAAATAATTATCATACTGCAAACAGAAAAACCAAACACATATATGATAAGTAGAAATTAGCGTAAATATTACATAGTCATTACCAAGATTTCTACAACAGGTCACATAAGTTTAGGTTCAAACAGCAATTAGTTCACATTAACAAGTGCAGTAACAACAGTGAAACAACAAAGTCCTAAACTAAATCCTAATCTACAGGTCCCTTCCATGTGTCTGGGTCTAGTGCTGCCGGTATCAACCACTCCAACAACTTGCTTCTATCATGCATAAACCCCAAATAGGCTTGCTTAGCCCATCTCAACCGCGTAAGCATCTTCGCACATGCATAATATAGTTGAGGGTTACCATTAAGCTCCTCAAGGCTAGCCAGGTGTCCTTAAATCTTCTCAACTTGTTAGGGATCTTCAACCAATGCTGATGCTCGCTTTTCAGACGCAGCTGCTATAACACTCAGGCTATCAAAAATTTTTGTAGTCGCAGCAACTTTTTTCTTCTTCTTCGCATCAGACGTCTCACCCCTCTTCCTCTTTCCATAGCTTCCTGAGTCACTTGGTCTAGTACTTGAAGGGTTGTTTAAGTTGCAACCGGAAAAATCATCTGAGATCCCTGCAGTGGCTGTTGGGTCAACATCGAAATTTTCATCCTTATTGTCCCCCGACCCTTCCTGTTGGTCGAGCCCGACTCTATAAACATCCTCCTCTTCTGTGTCAGGCTGTGGAGTGAATGCTGGCTGAGGTTGTGAGGCTGATGGTGCATACATAAAGTCTCCCGAAGCCACAACATCTTTGAATATCCTCATTAGGTCTGATGCAAACATCAACCCCTGATGTCTAAATTTCTTGAAATTGGGATCCACCTACATTAACGTAATTAGGCAAGTGTCAGGGATGACGAAACTGATATTTAAAATTAAAACTCAACCAACACAAATAGTTACCATTAATTTCCATTACCACCACTCATCGGAGGCCAATACCCTATTTGTCACTGCATCATAACCAATGCCAGTCTCCCCAGACATAAGTTTGTCCCACAACTTCCAATCCTTTCTCAAAATGTCAAATCTATTCTTAAGTTGCTTCCTATCATGCATTTTTCCACTTCTTTCCCGAAAATTCTTTGTAATTTTGTTCCAACCCAGCCTCGTAAATGATGTTCCACTTCTTATCGTTATCCATTTCTAGGTGGAAATAATATAGATAAGACTAACAGAAGCAAACAAAGCACAAAAATGTTCAAATTCAAGCTACATTATGTAAGAAATAAGTTCTACCCAGATAAAAAATATGTTCTTGCATATTCTTCTCATCTAAAATTAATAAGAAATCCCAAGACATTAGATCTGTGCATATAATCATTGCATATAATCCTTATATTCTTCTTACCTTAGCTTCGTCGACTTTCCATAAACATCATTTTCCCTTTGGGTTGGAAATAAACGGCTTGTTTTACTTGCTCAATAAACGGTTTGTCTTATCTCCTAATTTTTGGATTCCAATCGGCTCATGCTCACTCCCTCTACCCCCCCCAAAACAAATGTGTGTGGGTGTATATATATGAGAGTGTCATACAAAACAATTTATAAATTCATAAGAGTACTTAACAATTTTCTTAAATCCTGTCCCACCGAATTGAGGGTAAAAATTTTTTTAAAAAAAAGAATTTATAAACGTATAAGAGTAATCAATAATTTTTCCCTAAAATATCCTTCACCCTTAATAATCCAATTAATAAGAAGATGATGGGTAATAATTGAAGGCAAAAATAAAAAGAGAATACTTAGATCAAATTACTTGAATTGGTTAAAAATGTTTTATTGATATGTAAATTAGAAGAAAACTTATCATAAACTAATAAGAAGCGGACCATTTGACAACATTAATTGATATCGAATGTACTTTGGGACTCAGATTTCTTTTCGAAAAATATATGGCTCATTCCTCCTGTCGCCTACAACACTTGTTTGTAGCGAGCAATTACATCTGTGCTAGGTTTGACCCAAAACTCAGATCTAAAAATCAACAAACGTCAAGCATTCATCACAAAAATTCGTTCATCACTAAAACACACCACAAAACCAGGCCAAGAAGAAAACAATAAGACAGCACGGTGGTTCGATTTCAGTCAATCTATCAGCTCACAACAGATCAACAAACACACAACTCCACATGCTTTGATTAATAGCGTATCACTCCTACATTCACCGAAAACCAACACAAAAATATGGGAATCGGCCAACCTGGCACAGATAAGATCAATCAAAGTTTGGCATAGGTAGATCAGACACTCTATTTGAATAGGAGGCTAAGATCTTCGACGCATACCTGAGATGGACCAGCTGACGGCGGCGACCTGGGTTGGGACGACGATAGCAGCTCCGACAAGGTAGACTTGTGATGAACGACTAGCCTCTCGGTCACTCAAAGCCACACCCAAGTTGCTTCCTGTCACGGAGGAGATGCGACGGAGCTCACGGCAACCAAGTCTCGGTGGCTCTGGCGACGACGTGACGGAGGATGAGGGGAGGCAGCTCGCGTGAAGGACCAGGCTCTCGGTCACTCGAAGCCACACCCAACACGATGACCTCACGGAGAAGACGCAACGGAGCTCACGACAACTCTTGGTGGTCTGACGACGACGTGACGGAGGAGGCAGGATGAGGGCTCGCAGGTCGGGTAGAAGGGAGAACAGACGCGAAAGAAGAAAACAAAGACCGAAGACTCTAGGAAGAAAAGAAAGACTGAAGACGCGAAATGGCTTGGAAGACTTCAGAAAGAAAAATAAAAAAATGAGGACTGGCTGATAGGTATCTCAACGGTAAAAAAATAAGAGCTTATCTGATTCAATAAGCCACAAAAATTAGCTTGGGCCAGAATGTGCGTTCAGTAGCTTAAATTCCATAAGCTACTTTTTTTTTAAGCCCAACCAAATAGGATCTTAACACCAATCGGGCTTATGCTGATTTTAAGCTCCTTTTAAGCTCTTTAGAAGCCCAACCAAACGGACCCTTATCCATATAAAAACACTTTAAGGCCTTTCTTGTATCAATTATTTGATACCAAAAAATCTTCATTTCTCAAGTATTCAATTTGCAATCCGAAGCAAAACTTTGTTCTTCCCAAGTCCTTCATGTCAAATTCTTTCTTTAAGCAATCCATAGCTTTTGTAAGCTCTTCAGGAGTTCCAATAATATTTATATCAGCAACATAAACAATCATTCTCAAATCTTTTCATAAAAATGCATGGGCAAATTGGATCATTTTTATATCATTTCTTCAACTGATATTTACTTAGTCAGTTATACCATATACGCCCTGATCGCTTCAATTCTTATAGAACTTATTTAGCTTAATTAAGTATTGTTCTCAAGAACTTGAATTGTATGCTTCTGGCAAGTGAAATCCTTCAGGGAATTTCATATTTTGAACTATAAAATGATGATACATATTGAAATTATTTTAATCTTCATAATATTTCATATACTGAATTTTTTTTTTTTATATTTGCTCCTGGTATATTTTGGATCCTTCAAGGATTATCATGTAAAGTTTACTGTTTAATGATCCTTATCAATGGGTCATCCAACAGGCACATTTCATAATGCCAGACTATTCAAATATGTAAAATTATATCCACCACAAAGTAATATGTCTCATCATAATCATTTGTGAAAACCTATATTTTCACATAAACATCCATATAATCTATAGAAACTTTATATCTCATGTGTTGGGACTGCAGGCCCATTTTTATATATTGAAATGATATTTTCATCACGTCTTTTCCCTTTTCTTTTTCTTCTTGACCAAATTTATATGTACTTTGTATGATAGATTTATATGTAAGATCCTCTTTTTATCACGTGATATTCTTATGAAAATCATTGTCAACAACTTTACCTTTTCGGTTTCATTTTTTCTTTTGTGACATAACTTGTTGAGATCTCTTTCTTCTTTTTCAGGTACCTAAACCTCTTCTAGGGTTTTCCAATTAGTTATGTCCTGACACTCTTCTAGAGTACATGCCTCCTCAATACAATTTCTAAGTTGTATACTCCTCTTTATTCAATATCTTTATATTGGAATCGATTAATCTCTCATGCTTCTGGCATGTCTTATTTTTATTTATACTAATTGGAGTATTTTCAGCTAGAATAAGAGATTTAAAAGTTTTCATTTAAGTCAGTAAAATATTTTGTAGCATTTCATGAATGCAATTTTGATGAACTTTTGGTCCATATTGATATATTTGAGGATCTATATTTGATAGTAATAATGCATTCTATGCTTTCTCTTTTCCAACTACTCAATTTATCCCCCTTATGTTAGGAAAACTTTATCGAATAACAATCAACTAATTATACAGTATAAGTCTCCTAAATCCATTTGTTTCTTTTAGAAATATTATTTTGTTCCATTTAGAGACAAACAAGAAGAAGGAGGTTTTTACCGAACATATGTCCCAACTTTCTTTTAATATCCATCTATGTGCATTGTGGTGGATTGGTAGGAATAAATATTGCACATTTCAATTTTTTACATGAAAAATATCTGGCTCCTGAACAAAAGCCAATTTTATTGGGAGAATTTTGTTACCTTGATGTCTATAAGTGCTGCAATATATTAAATCAAATATGCGAACATTAAAATGAAAAAATTTGTTCTCATAAATATTGATCAAGCTATTCATGGAGGCATTAACAAATGACTTTGCTAGATTAATTTGTTAAGCAGGCTTTTCAACATTAAAAGCCTGATATATAAATTCACTAGCATCTTTAAAGTCAAGTTTTGGGAATCACATAGTCCGGAAATATTTATCTAAATGATCTTGCAAACTTCAGGTTGCAAATTAATATCAATCACGCATCTTACCATTTTATATAGATGCATCTATCAAATATTGAATACTTGTATGGTTTATGTGCTTCTAAATGAGCCCATGTATATTTTCAGAAATGTAGTGATCCATTTGAAAACAAAACATAACTAGTTATATTTTATAATCAATTTTCTTTGAGAATAAGCAGCACATATGAATTCTTAAAAATGTTGGCTATTCGGAAGAATCTTCTGGTTCTTCAATGGATATCAATACATAATCTTCAATAATTTGTTACATCATATAGTTTAAGATAATCAAACAAGTCATGCCAACAATAAATCTAATTATATCAGTAAACTTCTGGTTTATTGTACCATGTTTCGTTACCAATAATAAACTTTTCAATATAATATATGATTGATGATATCCATTTATGAAAAATATATCCAATATCAACTCATACTTGTATTCTAACAGTTTTCTCTCTCAAGATTGAGTCATTCAAACATGATTCCTTTATTCATATATTTCATAAACAGTTATGAGCATATGATGGATTAAAGTCAATAACCTATCTTTTGCTCAGAAGCCCAAGTACTTCATAATTCATATATACTTTGTCTACTCATAAAAAAACAGCATTTGTTCTTCTAGAACTATATTAATACTATTGCATCTAGTTCTTCAAGAACTATATAATTTAAGAAGAATATGAAGAAAACTCTATTTCAATATATCATTAACATAATAACAAATAATTATGAGTATCACAGATTTAACTTGCAATACACATAGAGAACACACAAAAATGATGAAGAACATTTTAAAAATAAAGTACAAATAATACTTATCATTCAAAACTTCTCAATATTGATCAAGGTACTATAAATATTTAAAATGTTCAAAACTAATATTAAATCAGATCATATAAATAAGATATAAATAAACAAAATATAACTAGTAACTTTTGGGTCTATTTGATCTATTTAGTTTCATATCACACACTTATCAATATCATAATATCAAATTCTTATAACAATTTGTTTCTCACAAATTACAATAAATTTAAAGACCCATAAAAATGAAACAGTATACATATAGCCTTCTAGGCATATACTTATATGTTTTCTATTTTTATATATACTTTAGGCATCTATCTTTCTTCACAACTTACTGTCTTCAGGCATTAGAATTAGCTTCAATATTTTCATAATATCACATGGTCTTTTTGATTCCACAACCATTTTTTCTTAACATTTTCTTTTCAAT